TATGCCGCTTGATCTGTAAAATATAATATATATTTAAAAAATAAATATATGGAAACAAATTAATCAAATTAAAAAATATTTCAAAAAATAAAATGTTTATTACGATGTTTTCATCAAGAAGAAATGAGAGAAAATTTATAATAGATAAAAGATAATATAAGCAAAATAATAATTCTAAAGAAAAATAATAATGAATATATATATTTTATTTATTTTTGCATATGTAATAAGAACTTTCACAATGCAAGAACGAGATTGTAGATTATAAATACGTAATGCTTAAGTTGTATATTAACATAATTCGTAATTATGAAACATTCTCTATTTAAAGTTAAGCGTAAGGTTAAACATACACTTCATTATGCACGGCGGCTACTTTGATTCAGGGTCGATTGAATTATGATAATGTCGGTATATCGCGTAATAGTTGCACAAAGCTTACATCGTGAGAATATTACATCGTTATATGCTGTTAACACACAAGCGCGAGCCTTTCGTATGCCCTACGTACGACCGTGAATACGCGGAAGTCACTTTCGTTGCAGGTGTTTCGTTTTCACGTAACATTTTCCGGTCGTTGTCAGTGATTATATCAATCAACTCGAGAATTCAACGCACTTACTTCAAGTAGCATCCTTCACTTTACTTTTTTAGATCTTTTTTATGCTATAAAATATGCATGCATAAGTAGCAAAAAAGTCAAACTTATGTTGCAAAGCAAAATGAGAAAATTAAGACAGAAAAACAAAAGATGTTAAGATAATAAAACAATAATTTAATGTTCAATAATAAGTATATTATAATAAGTATAATAAATTGTTTCAATTATACAGAGTCTTTATTCAATTAAACGAAATTTTATTCTTAATTTTATTCTTTCGATATCTGTTCTTGCACTCTAATTTTCAAGTTTTTTAAAACTGACTTTGCTTAGCTGATGAGGACTCTATGTAGTTGAAATGTTTTATTATTTTTGACAATTTATTGAACATTAAATTATGATTTATTACCTTTAGCATCTCTGTTATTTTTCGCTCGTTTCTTGGCCTTTTTACTTTCTTACTTACTTACACGTGCATTTATGATATATATTTTTATTATTTATGTCACATTATATATATCAAATTTCTCGTCGTCCATGTCATTTCGCGTTTTCGTTGCTACGTTTATTGATCGTCGACAGCGCAAAACCGCGACGTTACATTCCCGCGGACATTACTTTCCGGGCTATCTGCCGCGGTGATCAATGGTAAACGAGTCCTCTCTCTCAACGTGTTTTACTGCCGGCAGAGAAGGTGTACAGGAGAATTCTCCCGGTGAATCGGAAAAAAAATGTTTGCGGGAAAACACGGCAATATCCCACGTTTGCACGCTCGTCACATAGAGGATCCTTGCCAAGAGGATCCTCTGCCAACCTCGACCTCCGGCGAGGCGCGAATCATCAGAATCGAAAATTCTTCCGCGTTCATTGGCCGTTCGTCACACGAAGTATTGTGAATGCAAGTGCGTACAACACATATGCACGCGTACGAACCTCGGAGAAAGCTTAGTTTCAATGTGATTGGATCTTGATTATTGGATCTGGGTGACCCGATTGCTTCAACGGGGGCTTCCTCGTCCTCGACAACCTGTCGTGTAGATCATCAACGATTGATGCTACTATTAACGATCGATCACATCATGTGCGTGGGTGATTGATGACGCCGAAATGCCATTACCACGTTAATTTAACACTAAAAGTTACGACAGAGACAATTTGACCTTTATTTCTAATTCCACTCATTATAACTTTGTTAATATAATTGAAGATCTGTCTAGTACCGTTAAAGTTTTTCAAATTTTTGTCTTGCAAGTAATTTTACGAATGAAAGAAGATTCTTTTTTCTCATGAATTAAAGAAAGATTCTCTTCACATTCAGCCTCATTTCCGCGATTCGCTTTTCACGGATAAGCGTGATTTGAATTAATTCAACAGGTCGGAACGTCTTTGGCCTCCATTTTCTCTAAGCGAGTGCAAGCATGAGCGTCAATTATCGAGACGACGGTGATTAGCGAAATAATCTGAGAAAGTAGGGAACCCGTGCCATTCGAATGGAACACAGAAGTCTGTGAAGTGACCGCGCGAAACTAGACCTAGGACGAAGATGCAGACGGCCGCTTTCACTCGATCGCATCGTTTAAAACATTTCGAGCGCGATCATTCGTGCAAAACCGATCGGTTCTTCTTGCGCTTGTTTCAACACGGAAGATATCAATATCCGATCCTTCTTGTACGAAACATCGAAAGTGATAGCCGCAGTATTGTACGTTAACGTGGCAATGATGATACGAAAAGCTGCATAGCCATTTGCGGTTTATCAGCGCGATTTTGTTAGAGAGAAACTTTTTCTATGAAAGCGGAAATTCTGTTTTTAATCAATTTTTTATATATACTTAAATTTTAATCGGTAACGGTTTTACAGGTTGAGATTAATTTATCTATTTATAATTTAATATATATAATTTTCTTTTTTTGTTTCATAATTCTAAACGTAATTTTATAAATATAACTTTTTAATCGATTTATATAATAAGTAATTTATATAATAAGTAATTATACGTTAATTACAATTTATATGTTATTATTTTTAATGTCAGTTAAGATTAGAGTTTATTTTATTAAAATCAAAAAGTTTTTATTTAGATAATTTATTTACATTAAAGTTACGAAGAGATATCGATAGATATTTAAATAAGGAAAACGTGATTTGTATATTTAAAAAATCAATGAGTTAATTTAATTCTTTTCACGTGAAAAATCCGCATTAGCGGTGAATTTCTATTTGCATGTGAATTAACTTTAAAAGACGCCATGTGTTACAAATGCGAATCTTTTTTTTATGGATTAACCGGTTAAAGGTGTAGAAGCGTTAAATGTGCGAATGAGTCTACATGATTGGAAAGAGTGACAACGAACTGTCGAAGCCTCGACAACCGTTACGATCCGCCACCACATACCTGGCTCAGGTACGTTTGGACGTATACGTACGTAAAAGATGCGATAGACATTACTTGGGGGTCAACAGGAGATCTTTTATTCGTTTCTTGTTAGATATATATATGAGAAAATTATAGATCCTTTAAAACTGAGAATACACACCTCAATCGATTTATTAGTTTCCCAAAACTAATAAATCTTGATCTGTCTTCTTTTCTTAAGCTACGGACTTCTTCGTTGAACTAAGACTACTCAAATATAAGAAATATAACAGTATATATTGTAAAGAAGGACAAAAGTTTATAAAAAACGTAACTGGTAAACAAGTAGGAAGGTTATTTCAGGCAGAAAAACGCTAATGATCTTTGTTTTATTTTTATGACAATTTGATAATGTTTACCGAGTGTAACTGTGTTACGGCGGACGCCACGCTTAAGATTCACCAACCTTATGCGTGACCGTTGCACGCATGAAACTGGTAACGTAAAACTGGAAGCGTAATTCGCGCGATGCTGACTTCTCGTGATTCAGGTGTGCGCGCTTCACGGTTACTGCATCACGCTGCGCGTCTCGTCTACCGGCGAACGAGGGCAGGTCCGCGCTGCAAGCCAGGTCGCCGATACCTGTTACTTGCGTCATCGATTTGTGTGTCGCAGATCTTCCTGGCAACTTTCGGCATCTAGCTCGAGTAGACGCATCGTGTCGGGCACGCTTAATGACGCGTGGACGAAGAATGTACAGGGAGAAAAAAGTTACGGAATGAAAGATCGAAATACCTTTCATAAATACGATGCAAATGGTCTTCTGGTTTGCGTCTTCGGAATGTATGTTATTAATGCTGAGAACATGGCTTTCTCCGATTTTCCGATGGGAATTAAATTATTATCCGATCTTGTTTTAGTAACTTGAACTTTGGCGTTGATATTAAATTTACCAATTATTTCGCGTAAACTTGCTCTTGTGAGAACAAATTTAACATGAATTACGTTTTTCTATATACATATCATTTTCCTAAATATTAATTAATACACACGATGATTTTTCGGTTCTTTATTATACTTAATGGATTGTTCGTGTCCTGGGTTAATTTTCATCACTTTTATTGTAACAATTATTAAGTATTTCTTATATATACTTTAACATTTTTAAAAAATATTTGTAAAGTTGTATATTAAAAAAAAAATAGAGATCATTTAATTGTTCTAATATTTGAAAGGTAAAAAGTGCTCAGGATACGAATAATCCAATGGTGTGTACTATAATTATAAGAATTAAATTTGATTCAATTTTGTGATGACATTTATGTCACATTTAAATTTAAAAATAGATAAGTCTATTAATAAAGTATTCTGGTTACAATACTAATAATATTAGTTAGAACTGATTTATGTATTTATTGCATAGTAAATATATGAAAAGAAAAGAAAATGCATCAAGATCAATTTAATCCAAATCTTAATCTGGATCCAAATTTTAATTATAAAAAAAATACACTATATAAATATTTTAAATGAATATAGTCTTTTATTAAAGTGCTCTTTTACTTATTTATTTTTTAAAAGACACATTTCCTCTTCTTTTCCTTCTACTTAAATATCCATATTTATATGCTGCTTTTTATTAGAGATACTCAATGAGATACTTAAATTCACATTCTGTTAAATATAATATTAATATAGAAATTCGTTAAAAGTTCCCAAGTCGAAAATATAATATGTATCATAAAGCCAAAGCAATTCCTTCTATTGAGGCACGAGGGAAATTATCTCGTGCTCGTTCCACCAGCCGCATCATCGACCAAACAACTCCTTAAGGGCCTAGCCACTTACCGTGCAGCGCATTAACCTTGGGTGCAACCGAGAGGGCACGTTAACCACGTCTCATAACGTTGTTTTAATTCCGGCAGACTACGGGTCCGCTTTTCCGGTCTGCTTTCGCGCGAGAGAGGAAAACGCGACCTTGCCCTTGTTGTGGTCGGATCGGACCCTTCACGATGGTTTCCCTTTTGAGAGATCACTGATCCCCTCCGCACTTCTTCACTGAACTTGCTCTCGTCTTGCCAGCCGATTCGCCGACATGAATCGTATGCAATGTCTGCGATTGAATTTCAAACCGGTGCACCGACTTCGTGTATCTCGATCTTCTCTTATCGCGCGCGTTATTACATTCGTCGATCGTCAGCCTACAGGCAACATCGGCGATATCAGGATTCGTTCTTGCAAGACTAGCTACCGATTGCACTTGAAAATCTCTGTGACTCTTACGCGCTCGCACCGATCTGTACCGCGCGATCGTCCATCCGGCTAGCAAACGGGATGGTACCTGTCTGGCCGTCGTACCTTGTGCTACGGCATGTGTTGCTGGAATCGCATGGCTAAGTCATAAGCGGCGCCTTCGAAGATCGGTGGTGGTGGCCGGTCCGATGGTGGAAGTCGTTTATGGTGGTGGCAACATAACATTCGACGGAAGCTCGATTCGATGAAGAAGGGAGACCTGCAGAGAGGACAGAAATCGTCGAACGCGAGTAGGAAGTCGGGAGAAAGATAGAGAGAGGGAACCAGGAGAAACCAAAGTGGGTCAGTGGCCAGGTCACGTGGAGAAGAACGGGGCCCAACGTGCAGGACGGCGACACACTGTCCTACTCATCCACCGGCCGCTCATGGCCGCTCCAGGTTCTGTCTGCCCATTCAGGAAACGCTTCGTGATACCATCGTGAAAATGAGATGTGATCCTACTCAACGTCTTCTCACCGTTACTCTTCCCAGAAAAGAGAAGGAAACCTCTGATGGGAAAGCCAAATAAGTATCGCTCGATGAGTGTGATGACAGCACATAGTCAGCTGATAACGTCATAACAAGGCTGCACTGTTCATCAGTCGTGTTACTTTATGCTGTGTTAGAATTTATACTGATATCTATTTATGGTTCCTAAAAAAAATGTCGCTTAAAAGATCTTTAAAGGATCTTAAAACGGAATTTTTAAAATCTTACAATTTTTTTCTTAGTAAGATTTGTAATAACTCGTTATTTAGTTTTTTTACTTCAAAATATGACATTGTTTTAACGTATATACACTATACAGCTTTTCCAGTCTGTAAAACTTAATAATAAGAGTAGCGAATTGAGCAATTCAGGCGTCAATATGCTACCGTTTTTAAATAAAAAATCAACAGTATAGTTAAAGGAATAGTTACATAATATCGCTACTGATTCGATGTCGTGCGTGAAGACCTATTCTACAAGAGTGAGTTGGTTGCGGAAACAGTTAAATATATAATTTTATGCCTCTGGGGTTTTGTTCAGAAAATGTATTTCCGACATGGAGGAACTAGAATTCTAGTCATAACATTTGTTCTTGTCTCATGCGAAACATCTTAAATCGTTAAGATATCGCCTATAGAAAATGTTCCAGGCTCTCTCTCTTTCTCTTTTCATTTCTTGTTTTATTTAATTATTTTTCAATGAAAATTATTATACAACAGTCTTTGCAACAAGTAATTGTTCATCTGACATTTTTGTAGTAATGTCAACAAAAGGAACTTTACGTAATTTAATTTTCGAAAAAAAGGAGCAATAAATTGTATTTAAAATTAATTAAATTAATGTTGCCTTTAATTAAACAGTTTGAAAGAAATAAATGAGTTGCCTTTAATTAAACAGTTTGAAAGAAATGAAAGAGTTTTCTTCATTACATCGACAAAAATTCCATAATATTTTATTTCCTAAGATGGCAATATTTTTTATAAGAGGAAGAAAATTTATAGCATTAAAAATGAAATTGCCTTTCGATTTTCAATATTGGACTATTGTTAATTTAGTAATTTCGCGCGATGACGCAAGCCAATTTTTATATTTTTGCAGTTTTACATTTTGACAAATTTCGTGAAAAAATGTAAACGTTATACGTGAAATCAGTTTTATTTTTTTTATTTTGTATTATATATTTTATTTTGTATTTATTTTGTATATTTTATATACATGTATATTTATTTTATTCTACTTTTAATTATTTATCGTATTTTTATTTTGTATAACTGTGATTCTCTTATGCATTGAAGATGACAGGTCGGAATGTTTGTGAAATTGTTGTATAATCAGAATGTACTAATTAGTTAACACTAACTTGCTTTATTATTCTTTTTTATTCTCTTTGTTTTTAGTCTCTCTCTCTCTCTCTCTCTCTCTCTCTCTCTCTCTCTCTCTCTCTCGATTTATTTTTTTATTTCCGTTCAATTTAGATTGTTATTCAATTTAAATTGTTGGCAGAAAAATAATTCTTTGGCACGCTTGTCTAAAATTTATCCTCTAATTTATCTTGAAAGTGTAGCGTATTAATTTCCTTCTTTCAGCCAACAATATTTAATATCTTCACAATTTTTCTCTCTATACGTTTTATATGGAGATCATCAAGTAATAATAATAAACTTCCAATTTCCGGTGTCTGCGCGACTTTGGTTTCTCTCGCCGCGAATAAGTCTTCCTACTTCCAGATACAAGAGGATAATTACAACAGAGTGCTACAACGAGTTGTATTACGAGATAAATACAACTCGCATAGCGCGTCTGTCGTCTGCTTGATATAAAGGTCTGTCCTACTAATGATATTATCTTATTACCGTTAACTACACTTAACGGAATGCGGATTATTGGATGAAAATCGCAAATAAAACTTTCGTACGTATGTACGTGTACTAGTAAAAATGATTATTAATTAACGCAATAATTATTCTGTATATTAGAAATCGTACTTCTTATTTTTAATCAAAGTAACTTTCGCAAGTACGCGTAAGATGAGAGATGATGGGAGAAAATATGACTTTAACCAGCCGGAGAGTAACGCTTTTTTATTACACGTCGCAATACTAGGAAAAGCACGAAACTCGCGTATATCCTTATTACCGCGATAATACTATGAGCTGCATGCGGAAATTGCAATATTGCCTTATTCTGATTACTTTCGAGCTTTCAGTGTGCCCGTACATCACGCGAAGCTGACGACATAATGCGTTGAGATCACAACGCCAAATTTGCATTGTTTAGCCATGTTTAGTGTTGTTAAATTTAACGAATAATAAATTTGAAAAGACAGAGAAGAGAATAGATATTGAACACTTTTAATTTTAGCTTTTTATTTTATTTCATTTTAATAATAAATATTATAATGTAAACCTGTATACAAAATTCGATAAAGGTATCAAACTTATACAATATGTTAATGGGGTCGAGTAGTTAAAAAAAAGTTTATCTCTAAACTTTTTTTTAACTACTCGACCCCATTAACTAAACTTATGTTATCGGAGAATATTTTATAATAAAAAATTATGAACTTTCAAAGACTTATCAGCAGAATACAATTTATTACACGGAGAGAATTTATCCTGAAAATGTGATAGTCAGGGCAATATTGTATTTTGAAGAATTTTAATCTCTCTCATTAATAAAATATAAAATTATAATAAAATATAAAATAAGTTTGATCAATTCTACTGAAGTGCATGGTAAAAATCTTTAAAATATTGTATTGTACACAATTACCATATTTTCAGGGTAAATTTGAAAAAAAATTCTTTTCGTGTACTATTTCTAATACAGTAGGTCTGTATTTTTTGAGAAAAAAGCGTTTTCGAATATTTATTATTATAAGTTTAATTTCGACCTTTACGAATATTTTGTATATCTCATTATTTATCGTTTTAGAGCTGTTGAACTCTTTCATATATATTGCGGCGAAATAGCAATTCATTTTATATTATGCAAAATAGTATACAATTAGTTATATTAATTAATTAACAGATTAATTATCTCACACGTATTTAGAAATTATCATTTTAAATTATTTTCAACTTTATGCGTTATTGTCCTGCTATTTATTGAACTTTTACGTTCACAAAGGAAACAGGTTACTCGTAATCCTATTTGTGTAATCGGAGCGAGACGAAACGTTCGACAAGGTACGTCACAGCTTTCGCGAATAGCAATTCGCTACTAGGAATTTTAATTAGCATGTTGTAGTTGAATTTCACTTCATTTCAGAATCAGACCGTCGTGACCGTGTCGATATTAAGTGATTAAAACTTACATCGCAAATCATTTTTTACACACATGTGATTATAATATTTATATATAATTATATGTCTAATGTACAATAATAAAAGAATTAAAATAATGATTTTAAATTATATTATATTATATATTATTATATATAATTATAAATTAAATAGCCATTTTAATAATTTTTTGCTATCATCTAAATATTTTTAACAAATTGTAGGAGCTGAAACATTTTTTATAAATGTAAAATAATAATTATTAATAATATTTTGTATAAAATATATTTGTGTATTATTTACTTAAAAATGTAGAAATTAATACATTAATATTTAAATAATCTTTAATAATGTTTTAATAAACACATATTATCATAATATTATCTGCATTTAAATGTTGATTCACACTTTCATCAACTACTTTATCTTTAGTTTAATTGAATGCTGTTATCAATATTACAATCCCGATAGCAGATGATAGTCGTAGCTAGCTGCTAATAGAATTTGATTAAAGCTCACATACACACATTGTAGGAAATATAATTCGTAGAAATCAACAATTCCGAAGCAATGACAACATGCCGTCATCGTGGACGAGCATCAATAATTGACGATTATATCCTGTAATTCGTACGAGATGGTGAAACCACGAAATCATTTGCTTCCCGTATAATCATGGTGAAATTATGACAGGTCTCGAAGAATCCATGTATGGCTCTCTCAAAGCCTTGCAACGCAGGAATGCGTAATTGATAACGGTCTCGGTTCTCATAGCTCTTTCACTTCAGGTACTGTTTTGTATTAATGCTCAGCCACGCATTTGAATAATATCGCGAAATTCAACTTATTCACATTTG